CAGGAAGTGGGAAAGATAAGTGACAATGATGTCTGGAAAACTCTCAAAAGAATGAAGAAGGAGAAGGCAGTAGGACCTGATGACATACCAGTGGAGATTTGGAAATGTCTTGGAGAGATGGCAGTGAGGTTTTTGACTCAAATATTCAGTTGCATATTTGAGGATGAGAAAATGCCTGAGGAATGGAGAAGTGTGCTGGTGCCCATTTTTAAGAACAAGGGTGATGTACAGAGTTGTAACAACTATATGTGAATTAAATTGATGAGCCACATGATGAAGATCTGGGAGACACATGTGGAAGCTAGACTTAGATGAGAGCTGACTATTTGTGAGCAGCAGTATGGTTTCATGCCAAGAAAGAGCCCCACAGATGCCATCTTTGCTTTGAGGATGCTGATGGAAAAGTACAGAGAAGGTCAGAAAAAACTCCACTGTCTTTGTGGATTTAGAATACATATGACATTATGCCGAGGGAGGAGGTATGGTATTGCATGAGGGTATCTGGAATGGCAGCAAAGTATGTTAGACTGGTACAGGACATTTATGAGGACAGCATGACAGTGGTGAAATGTGCTGTAGGAGTGATGGATATCTTCAAGGTGGAGGTAAGATTGCATCAAGGATTGGCTCTGAGCCCCTTCTTGTTTGCTCTGGAGATGGAGCGACTAACAGATGAGGTCAGGCAGGAATCCCCATAGACTATGATATTTGCAGACGACATTGTGATCCGTGGTGAGAACAGGGAACAGGCGGAAGAGAACTTGGAGAGGTAGAGGTATGCACTTGAAAGAATACGAATGAAAGTCACCCGTATAAGACAGAGTACATGTGTGTGAATGAGAAGAAGGCCGGTGGAAGAGTGAAGCTACAAGGAGCAGAGCTCACAAAGGTGCAGGACTTCAAGTACTTGGGGTCCACTGTCCAGGAAAATTGCACTGAAGTACAACGAGATTATATTCCATACAGTCATCCAAAAGATGGGCTGAGTGTTAGTGGCTACAACTCCTGGGAGCGTGGCTCCTTATTCTTCAGATAGAATAGGAGAAAGACCATAAGGATAGTGTTATAAAAAAAAAGATCTCTTCACACCTTGTCCTTATCAGGACATGATTTAAGACATCAAAAATATCTTCTAGCAAACACATTTATAGACACAATACATATGCATTTGACGACAAAACGTGAGATTTGTCCATGAAACACTTCCAAATAGCTCAATAGTCCTGATAAGATGTGTATATACACTGTGTGGATGCAGTTACAGAGGACATGGAGGTATTTTGAGTGAAAACAGAGGATGCAGAGGACAGAGTGATATGGAAGAGGATGACTCACTGTGGCGACCCCTGTAGAGGGCAAAGCCGAAAGAACAAGGCAGCAAAACTCACTCAGATCCAGGAAACATGAAGAAACACCACGAACATGTAGGAAAACACCAGGGACTCAAGAGGCATTACCAGAGGATGCCCATAAAACGAGTAGCACACAGACACAGACTTATATACTGTACACAGAGTAACAAGATACAACCACACACACCCGTGAGCACAGACAGCTAAAACAGGTCAGACTGAACTGGGAAACCAAGGGGTATAAGAACAGAAACCAAACACCAGAGGGCACAATCCCTACAACTTGAACTTCAAATTTCACTAATCTCTGGTTTAACTTTGAGTTTCACTAAACTATGGATTAACCTTATCTATCTTGCTCAATGGCTCCTCTTCCTCTACAGCCCCTCTTCTGTGTGGGGTGCCCCAGGGTTCCATTTTGGGCCCTCTGCTCTTTTCCTTGTACATGTTGCCACTTGGATCTATAATAAAACACCACAATGTCAACTTTCATTTTTATGCAGTTGATTTGCAAATCTATTTACCATTAAGGCCAGGATCCAGTAACCCAATGCTTTCTCTATTTGACTGCATCTCTGCAATCAAACATTGGCTAAACAAGAACTTCCTGTTTTTAAATGACAATGTAACAGAATGGATTTTGTTTGGTGACAAAGATGCAACTGGCCTGGGAAATTTGAATATTAACTTCAGTTTGAATATTAACTTTCAGTGTGAAAAACCTTGGAGTGACCTTTGATAAGGCTTTACACTTTGACAAACATATCGCCTTTGTTGTGCAGTCTGGATTTTTTTTATTTACACCTTTTAAAAAAGGTCAAACCCTAGGAATGTGCAATATATATAGTACATGGTAGAAACGATAGACATTTAGCCTATGATAGGATCTGTCTTCTACTGGCTAACCACAGTATTGCTGTGTCTGATGTAAAATCAGAGTCGTCAGATTTAATCATTACTTTTTTTGTTGAAAATTGTGGTGTTAAAGTATTTTCTTCAAGAACTAATTAGCAAAGCTACAAGCTAACTACAGCCGGCTTGCCGTAGTGTTGCCGTATTCAGACGCATGCGCAAAACGCTGTGTTCCGTCAAAAGTTGTTTTTTTTTCCTGTCAAAAGTTAAAGTAAGCGTTGGTCATCTTTAGAGAAACCTGCACTCTGATCTGTAAAAGAACGCTGTGTTGTGTGATTTTACTGCGAGACCCTCTGGTCAAAGCCACAGAGGAAACTGGTCGCCATTTTGTGTCAGCTCTCCTTAAAGAGGAAGGAGACGCCCACTAGAGGGTTGGAGGGTGAAGTGTTTCAGTGTAAAATGCTGCTCTGTTGCTGTTCATTTCTTAAGTGAAAATACTGGAAACTGTTAAGAGTTAACAACATATTCTTTTGTATAAAAACATATGGCTAAAACTACATTTGATATCTTTTGCACTGTTTTGCACTACAAGCAAGAAGCTTGATGCTTGATTTGTTTATTATTTAAAAACTCTGGACCTAGTAGTGGAATTTTCTTAATTGAGATTATTTTGTGGTATAGCAGTTTTCAAAATAAATTATGGCAAAAGGACACCCTATGCTTTTAAAAAAAAAAATTCTTATTGCAAGTTTTATACAAAAAAACATATTGTGATATAAATCGTTATCACCATTCTTCACAGTACATATTTTGATATGAATTTTATGCCATATCCCACATCCTTATCAAACCCTTTTTGAACCGTTGTGACTTGGAGAAGCTGTTCGTGCTCTCATCAGTTCTCGGCTCGATTATTGTAAGTGTGTGTGTGTCGTGCACCTCAGTCATCACTGAGCTCTTCCAGCTGGTTCAAAACGCAGCAGCTGCTCCTGGATGGGACCACATCACACTGTTTGTCTTCCTGTCTGTTTTAGAACAGATTAAAACTTTTATCATTTGTTTTAAAGCTCTGAATGACCTCGCTGCTCCTTATAGAACAGAGTTGTTCAGCTCCTGCTCTCTGAGGTCCGACAGCTCCTGCTCTCTGAGGTCCGACAGCTCCTGCTCTCTGTTCCAAGGACAGAATATAAACTGTGGGGGACCGTGGCTTTTCTGCAGCCGCACCTCGACTCTGGAATAAACTCCCACTTAATCTACGTCAGATTACTGAACTGGGCTCCTTTAAATCAAAGCTTAAGACTTTTTTTATTCCAACAGATTTTTAGTACTTAAATATGTGATGACATTTCTGATCCTCTTTTTGTTATTTTATTGTGTTTTTTCTTGTTTCAACTTGTTCTCATTTTAATTACTGTTTTTTTGTTAAGCACTTTGGTTATATCACTGTGGTTGTGTAAAGAACTAAAGAAATAAACAAATAAATAAATAACTTTGAGTTTCACTAAACTCTACACTTAAAAAATGCCATATCAGAACTTATATTTTGTTTTTCCATTGTAATAAATTTGCAAAAGTTTTGTCACTTTTTGTCTTTATGGTGTTTTTTGTAGAAATCTGAGGGAAAAGGAATTAAGTAGATACATTTTCTAAAAATCTGTCATATAAAACAGAAACAGTGAAACGGATCAGGATGCAGTTTGTCTGTCTAGGTGAGTTTAAATCTGTCAATGTGCCATGGGCTTGCATCTTAAAGTTGAAGCGTGCGCTCTCAGGACATCATTACCTGCAGTGTTCCCTCAGTGAGGACTGAACTAGACAAAAGGACCTTCTCCTACTCCGCTCCTGTTTCCTGGAATATCTTGTAAAAAGACCTGAAGCTCTCGACCTTTGACCTCTCTAAGTGGCTTCAAACATCTGATAAGTTCATGGAAGAACCAACACAGACATGTTCCTGTTAGTTGTGCCATGTAGCTGTTTTTGATTCATCCATCCATCCATCCATCCATCCATCCATCATCTTTACCCGCTTATTCCATTTTGGGTCACGGGGGTCGCTGGTGCCCATGTCCATCAATCACTGTGCGAGGGGCGGGGTACACCCTGGACAGGTCTCCAGTCCATCACAGGGACACATAGAGACAAACGAGACAAACAACCATTCACTCTCTCACTCACACCTAGGGACAATTTAGAGTTACCAATCAGCCTAACATGCATGTTTTTGGTCTGTGGGAGGAAACTGGAGTACCCGGAGAAAACCCACGCATGCACGGAGAGAACATGCAAACTCCACCCAGAAAGGCCCCTGGACCGGGATTTGAACCAGGAACCTGTTCACTGAGAGGCAGCAGCTCTACCAGTTGCACCACCGTGCTGCCCCCTGTTTTTGTTTCATTTTTATATAATTTTTTCCATTTATTTTTAATTATATATGCTGTTATATGATTATCTATTGTTGTCTGTACCTCCTCTGTGTTCTTTGTTTAAACCAGGTCTCTCTTGTAAATGAGTCCTTGAGGCTCAATGACACTAACCTGTAGAAGTAAAGGTTGAATGAATGAAAATGAAAGATTAATATTTCTAAGAGTTCCACTCAAATCTTTCCACTTGTTCGGGAAATGTTTTGCTAACAGATAGAAAAACAGGAAGGTAGTTACGTGATTGCCTGTCACCATAGAAGTCAAGGGTTAATAAAATACAGGTTGTGGTTTGTTTGAATTGATCTAAAAATGGATTTATAAAAGTACCGGTTGAACACAGCAGAACCTTTGATGCAATGACTCAAATATTCTTCAGGGTGGAGGACCAGGAAGGTGATGAGAGACAAGTCGACGCACAGCCCTCCTCTCAGAGTAAGAGCAAGAAGGCTCGTAGGGAGCGTCACCAAGTCGAGCAGGGGGTAGAGATGACAGCCGCAGGGGCGAAGCCACAGAGCAAGGTACAGAACAGGCAAACACTTAGAAGAACTCTTTTACCTTTGTTGGATATTATTTTTATCTAGACTGGTCCTATGGTTTTAACCCAGTCAGAACCGGTGACATGTTCACAGACCCAGAAGAGCCCCGATGTCCCGTGTCATTACTCATTTATAGGGTCCTGGACTCCTCCTTAGCAGAAGGGGAGCTCATCCTGTCAGTGTATGAGGGGTCGTGGCTAAGTGTGATCTCAGTGGATCTTATGTGGTTCTGACGTGTTACGAAATATGAGACGGTGCTTCAAAAGCCTTTCTACCTAATGTGGCAGATTAAACTCTGTTCCTTGACTGATATTGAATCCCAGGGAGACTCTCTTAGAGCTGCTGGCCCAGTTTAACCCAGTCAGAACCAGGTCATAGTTTCATTATAATCCCGTCTCTGAGCAGATCCAAACCGTAGGACCAGTCTAGATAAAAATAACATCCAACACCTTCAACCAAACAGCAGAGCTTCATTCAGGGTGAGCTCCAGATGTTTCAGCTCACTTATTTCCTGTAGGTGTTGGAACCAGTTCCATGTTCTTCAGAGACAGGACCAGGATCAGAGTCTGCACCTGGGTGTGACTCTGAAGAATCTCCCAGGCAGCGGCGCTCCATCATTCGGGACCGGGGACCAATGTATGAAGACCCCTCACTGCCTGAAGGCTGGACCCGAAAACTGAAGCAGAGGAAGTCTGGGCGTTCTGCAGGAAAGTTCGATGTCTACCTGATCAAGTAAGCCCACCTCACCTGGTGCTGGTTTCCAATGATGCATTAGGGTAAACACAAAGATTTAACATGTTGATGTTTGTTCTTTTTCCAAGTTGTACTGGTCTTGATGTTTTGTTGTTTTCTGATCTCAAGCTCGGAGGGAAAAGCTTTTCGTTCCAAGGTGGAACTTGTTGCCTACTTTGAGAAGATTGGCGACGCAACCACAGACCCCAATGACTTTGATTTTACTGTAACTGGGCGTGGAAGCCCGTCTCGTCGTGAGAAACGCCCTCCCAAGAAACCAAATGTGGTGAAACCATCTGGGCGAGGCCGTGGGCGACCTAAAGGTACTCACTGATGACAGAAGTGAACCAGGTGTCAGTTTTTATAAGTGCTTTGTAGTTGTTCATCTCTGCTTTTGTGTTTGTGTGTTTGTGTTTGTGTTTGTGTGTTTGTGTTTGTGTGTTTGTGTTTGTGTGTTTGTGTTTGTGTAGGCAGCGGAAAGATGCGACAAGCTACTGAAGGCGTGGCCATGAAGCGAGTCATTGAGAAGACTCCAGGGAAGCTGCTGGTTAAGATGCCCTTTGGCAAGACGGAGTCCTCGTCTGGCGCAACATCAATGGTACGTCAAAACACCTTGTTTCACCTTGTTTCACATTGTTTCACCTTGTTTTACCTTCTTTCACCTTGTTTCACCTTGTTTTACCTTGTTTCACCTTGTTTTACCTTATTTCACCTTGTTTTTCCTTCTTTCACCTTGTTTCACCTTGTTTTACCTTCTTTCACCTTGTTTCATCTTGTTTTACCTTGTTTCACCTTGTTTTACCTTGTTTCACCTTGTTTCATCTTGTTTTACCTTGTTTCACCTTGTTTCACCTTGTTTTACCTTGTTTCACCTTGTTTCACCTTGTTTCACCTTGTTTCACCTTGTTTCACCTTGTTTCACCTTGTTTCACCTTGTTTTACCTTGTTTCACCTTGTTTCACCTTGTTTTACCTTGTTTCACCTTGTTTTACCTTGTTTTACCTTGTTTCACCTTGTTTTACCTTCTTTCACCTTGTTTCACCTTGTTTTACCTTGTTTTACCTTGTTTCACCTTGTTTCAACTTGTTTCACCTTGTTTCAACTTGTTTCACCTTGTTTCACCTTGTTTCAACTTGTTTCAACTTGTTTTACCTTGTTTCAACTTGTTTCAACTTGTTTCACCTTGTTTCACCTTGTTTTACCTTGTTTCAACTTGTTTCACCTTGTTTCACCTTGTTTCACCTTGTTTCACCTTGTTTCACCTTGTTTTACGGCACCCTGATTTGTTTTATAACACTACTTTTATTTTAACTGTAGTTTATTGTTGTCTGTACTTTATATGTTCTGTCTAAAACAGGTCTCATGTAAATGAGTCCTCGTGGCTCAATGAGACTAATGCCGCTTTTGCACTGCCCCTACTCAGCCTGGATTTGCACCTGCACTTTAGGACCGACTCTGGAGGCGTGTCCAGAATCCAAGTCCTGCTAATGAGAGTTCTGCGATGAGTTAAACTCAAAGCAGTCTGCTCCTCAGATAAATATTATTAAATTATTATTTTATATATGAATGTTTCTGTTCAGACCCTGACACAACTTCTGTTTTAGAAAAAAACTGAATTAAATTAAATCTGATCAACCAGATTCTACAAAATCTAAAAAAGTTAAGTCTAATCCTCTGGATGTTCAAAAAACAAAACAAACAAAAACAAAATCTAGAGATGTTTCTTCTTTCATCCGAAGGACTTCTTCAGTCTGAGGTGCTGTATTCAGCTCATAGCTATTTATATAAGACTGAGCTGAATACAGCTCCTCAGGCTGAAGAAGTCCTTCGGATGAAAGAAGAAACATTTCTACATTTTTGTTAGTTTTTTGAACATCCAGAGGATTAGAATTAACTTTTTCAGATTTTTCTACCTGGATTATTGAGCATGCATCAGGATATCTACAGGTCCTTCTCAAAAAATGAGCATATTGTGATAAAGGTCATTATTTTCCATAATGTAATGATAAAAATGAAACTTTCATATATTTCAGATTCATTGCACACCAACTGAAATATTTCAGGTCTTTAATTGTTTTAATACTGATGATTATGGCATACAGCTCATGAAAACCCAAAATGCCTGTCCCAAAAAATGAGCATATCATGAAAAGGTTCTCTAAACAAGCTATTAACCTAACCATCTGAATCAACGACGTAACTCTAAACACCTGCAAAAGATTCCTGAGGCTTTTAAAAACTCCCAGCCTTGTTCATTATTCAAAACCACAATCATGGGTAAGACTGCCGACCTGACTGCTGTCCAGAAGGCCATCATTGACACCCTCAAGCAAGAGGGTAAGACACAGAAAGAAATTGCTGAAGGAATAGGCTGTTCCCAGAGTGCTGTATCAAGGCACCTCAGTGGGAAGTCTGTGGGAAGGGAAAAGTGTGGCAGAAAACGCTGCACAACGAGAAGAGGTGACCGGACCCTGAGGAGGATTGTGGAGAAGGGCCGATTCCAGACCTTGGGGGACCTGCGGAAGCAGTGGACTGAGTCTGGAGTAGAAACATCCAGAGCCACCGTGCACAGGCGTGTGCAAGAAATGGGCTACAGGTGCCGCATTCCCCAGGTCAAGCCACTTTTGAACAAGAGACTGCGTCAGAAGCGCCTGACCTGGGCTACAGAGAAGCAGCACTGGACTGTTGCTCAGTGGTCCAAAGTACTTTTTTTTGGATGAAAGCTAATTTTGCATGTCATTCGGAAATCAAGGTGCCAGAGTCTGGAGGAAGACTGGGGAGAAGGAAATGCCAAAATGCCAGAAGTCCAGTGTGAAGCACCCACAGTCAGTGATGGTCTGGGGTGCCATGTCAGCTGCTGGTGTTGGTCCACTGTGTTTTATCAAGGGCAGGGTCAATGCAGCAGCTATCAGGAGATTTTGGAGCACTTCATGCTTCCATCTGCTGAAAAGCTTTATGGAGATGAAGATTTCATTTTTCAGCACGACCTGGCACCTGCTCACAGTGCCAAAACCACTGGTAAATGGTTTACTGACCATGGTATTACTGTGCTCAATTGGCCTGCCAACTCTCCTGACCTGAACCCCATAGAGAACCTGTGGGATATTGTGAAGAGAAAGTTGAGAGACCAAGACCCAACACTCTGGATGAGCTTAAGGCCGCTATCGAAGCATCCTGGGCCTCCATAACACCTCAGCAGTGCCACAGGCTGATTGCCTCCATGCCACGCCGCATTGAAGCAGTCATTCATGCAAAAGGATTCCCGACCAAGTATTGAGTGCATAACTGAACATGATTATTTGAAGGTTGGTGTTTTTTGTATTAAAAACACTTGTCTTTCATTGGTGGGATGAAATATGCTAATTTTTTGGGACAGGCATTTTGGGTTTTCATGAGCTGTATGCCATAATCATCAGTATTAAAACAATTAAAGACCTGAAATATTTCAGTTGGTGTGCAATGAATCTGAAATATATGAAAGTTTCATTTTTATCATTACATTATGGAAAATAATGACCTTTATCACAATATGCTCATTTTTTTGAGAAGGACCTGTACATTTAAAATTCTATATTTTTCTTCATCATTTGATGTATTTGCACTTATTGTGTTTTTTTTTCTTGTATACATATTATTTTTAGCTTTGAATTAAAGTGTAATCTTGTTTAGAGGTTTGTTCATCTGTGGGTTAGAATAAAGTTGAACCAAAGCCTGTGTCTCTTCTTTAAACATGTTTGAGGGAAATATTCCTGAGAGATCAAATAATTTTGTCTTTTTATAATTTTTCAGTTGAATTAACTTTAATTAACAGATTATTTAATAAAGTCAAAGGGATAACATGATTTCACGATAACGTTGGCACCGTTTATTTATGTTTAATCTTCACTGATAAAAAAAAATATATTTTATACATAAAATGTTTTTAAAAAACGTTTCCACCCTCCGTCCCTCCATCCCGGTCCTCCCGCCTGCCGGGGCTCGGGGTCCGGCCTCGCGGGCTTCAGCGGCTCGGCAGCTCGTATGATCCTCCGCGGTGACTCCGCTCGCTCCAATTTTATCTTCAGTCAACAAACACAAAAAATGCCTGGACTTCAGAATTAAACACGGCGTTGTCATTATTGTTTTTAAAATCTTAAAAATAGATCAGCCGCTGCTCCGCATCCAGAGAAATTGCAAATGGTGACTCAGTGAAAAGTTTCTGAGATCCAGTGACTCCTCCCTGTGACCAATCAGAGTCCTGCATTCACGTTTGGTCCGGATTCAGCTCAGCTGAGCTCGCTCGGTCCCACCAGAGAAGCAGGGACAAAAAGAGGTCCTGAATCAGCCTCAGATCAGCTAAAAATACTCAAGTGCTGGTGCAAAAGGGTTCTTTCTGTGGCGGGCTGCACAGAACTGGGGCTGATTAGGGGCAGTGCAAAAGGGGCATAAGGGTCCGTTTACACGGTGCATATTTTGAGTGAATCCGCTCCTTTCTCTCTGCGGTTCTGCTCTTCATTTACACGACACCAGTCGCCCCCCTCTTTGAATCTGGAGGGTTCTCAACCCACCTCTCAGACTGGAGGTTTTTGCAGCAGCCGTCCGCTGTTCTGTAAACAGCTCCCGCAGAGGTGTTAAAGCACATACGCAGTACAGGCGTATATTTCACGCACGTGTGGACCAACGGCATATTTCAATCAACAACAATGGTGTTGGATTATAACATCCTGCTTTCTGAGCTACGACTGATGGAATATATATTGGGTCTCGTAGTTAATCTGCACTGGAATGTAGCTGCTGTGACCGACATCTGTGTTGAGAAGAGACGCCGATTGCTTCCAGTTCTAATATCACTATTTATTGAATGAGGCAGGTGGATATTTCACGCGTGGCACTTGACTATAACATACTAAATGTGCTAAATAATAACAGTAAGAATAATAAACAGTATTTATGTTAGTGTGGGAGGAATATAATGACACTATCTGGACATTACGTAATTCAAGTTATGTCATTTAAACTATGCAAAACATGTTACATGTTATTAAAGTTGAAAATGAAGACTTCAGGTTTAATTTTTATTTATTTATTCAACACCACAAACTGTATGTCACTCAAACACTGATAAAAAAAACTGAACACGCTATTAAAAACACATTAACTGTAAACTGCATTAATGAACTGGACCCTTCTTCTCTGTTGTCATCCTGGATACTGACGCCATGTTGTTCATCTGGCTCGTTCAGGCTGTCACTCCTTTGATTAATGCAGCTTAAAACACTGAATGATTGAATAAAAGAACTGAGGGGCTTTTTAAATAAACAGTTCATCCAACATCTCTCTCTTCAATGTTCTCCTGCACCGCATCTGGGCCGAGGCTCGTTCGGAACCGGTCCACCTCTGGTTGGAGGGCAGCTTCTCTTTGCAGGAAAAATAAAAACTCGGTTGTTGTGTAACTGAAGTAAACAAGCAAACGTAATAAAGAACGTTGATTTACCCACTGTAAATTGACTGCTGATTATCATCGGAGTAGATAGTCCAACATCATCATCGTCAGTTCTGGTCCGCTCAGCGACCAGTGTGGAGCTGTTAGACGAAGCGGTCCTGCTTGGCATCAAATCT